CCCATCTTGGGAGAAATGGAAGTGAGACGGTGACCACTGAGGCCCCAGAGAGTGGAATCCTCACCCTGCCCCCTCCCAGCTGCAGGCGCGATCTCTCTGTTGGTTCTTCTTGGGGTGGTGATGGCAGCGTCTGTGGCAAGAATTACGGTGGGGTGATAGCCAAGAGCGTTGCCCACAGGGGCCTTCGGCAATGGTGGAAACACTCTTGGTTATTACAGGAGGTAGGAGATTCTGGGGCCATTGGTGCGTAGACACCAGGAGTGCTAATCAACAGCCTACCCCATGATAGTAACCTACCCAAGATGGCAAGTGCTAGACAACCCAGGGAAGTTAATCAGCAACCTACTCAATGATGCCTAGTTGATAACTTACCCAGGGATGGCAAGGGCTAACCTATTCAGGGAAATTAATCAACAGCCTACTGCATGATGCTAGTCAATAACCTACCGAGGGATGGAGTTGATAGCCAACCTAGGTATGTAGTAACAACCTACCTGAGGATGTTAATGAACAGCCTACCCAAGGATGGCAATATCAACAACCTAGCCAGGGATGGTAATCAACAACCTAGCCAGGGATGGTAATAACTCAGCTGTTTCAGTTTCCTCTCTGTTGCTGTGACGAGCCCCACCCCCAAAAGCGATGTAAGGGAAGAAATGTCTATTTGGCTAACACTTCTACATCACCATCCTTCAGTTGAGGGACACCAAGGCAGGAACTCAGGCAGGAATTTGAAGTAGAACCCATGGAGGATGCTGCTTGCTCATTTGTTTTTGGGCTCGGGACTACCTGACCAGGAATTGGTGCCACCCACAGTGAGCCAGGGCCTCCTGTGTCAATTAACACTCAATTAACAATTAATACACTTCCCTACAGAGATGGCCATAGGCCATCCTGGCCTGGACCATGCCTCAAATGAGACTCCCTTCTCAGAAGGCTCGATGTTGTCTCAAGCTGACTAATTAGGACACTATCCAAGGATGCTAATCACCAGCCTGCCCGGAGATGTTAATAGATAACACATCTTGGAGGCTGATCGACAGTCTACTCAGGAATACTGCATTAGTCAGTGTTTCCTAGAGGATGGAACTGATAGAATGAAAATATATTCAAAAGTCATGTATTAGGTTGCCTTTCACAAAATGACCTGGGCAACCCAACATTAGGTGTCTTCACGCTGAAGAAGCTGAAGATGGGTACTGCTCAGTCTGCAAAGCTGGACACTGCAGTGATCCCTGTCTGGAGCTGAAGGCCTGGAGGATTACTGGAAATTCGCCAGTCTTCGGTGAGGTACAGTGATAGCTGTGCCCCAGAGCAGCAGGCAGGCGGATGCACAAGCTCGTCCCTTAGACACCCTTCTGTGCAGGCAGCTCATTTTGAAGGTGGGTGTCCTAATCTCATCTCTGTTACTGTGATAAAACACCCTGATGAGAAGAGGCTTGGAGAGAAAAGGTTTGACTT